TGAGGGAGGACGAGGACGACTCAGTACCTGAGAGCGCAGTCTCACCAGTACCTGAGAGCGCAGACGCACGGGCACCTAGAGCAGCAGCCTCACAAGCACCTAGCGCAGCAGTACCAATGCCCGGGTCGGGCTGGAAACAGCGGTAACCCTCATTCTCCTCACTATAATCCACAACATACATAGCAGTAAGGATAGCATCAAAATCAAGATCAAAGATCGCTACACCAGCCCTGAGAAGCTCATCCCAGCGAGGGATCTCACTAGCCCCAGGGAACTGCTGACGCCAGGCGTCCGTCAGGCGGCCAAAGCAGCGCTGGGTGGCGTGGGCACCCCCACACTGCTCACCCGCGCGGTCGCCGGAACGAAGAACGTAGGTGCAGGGACCAGTACCCCCACCCCTCTGACGCCCAGCGTACCACTCACGAAGCTGCTGAGGCGAAGGGATGTCCCGAGAGCGCTGCTGCTGCTGCCGCTGCGAGCGCTGGCCACCACCACCGCCGCTACGCTGCTGGGTACCACCCCGACCAGATCCACCCCCTCCACCACCACTGCCTCCTCCGCTGCCGCCTCCACCGCCTCCACCTCCGCCGCCTCCACCTCCGCCGCTGCCTCCACCACCACCGCTGGCACCACCACCACCGTCTCCGCCGCTGCTGCCACCACCACCACCTCCCCCGCCACTAGTCCCGCCGCCACCCCCACTCCCTTCGCCGCCACCGCCGCCACCGCCACCGCCCCCTCCAGCTCCACCCGCGCCCTTGCCCCCCTTTCCCTTGCTGGAGCGACGTCTCCCACTAGGGGCAGACGCCGCGCCGACCGACTCAAGACCAAGCAGGTCGGCAGCAGCAGCAGAGGCAACAGAGGGCAGCAAGGGGGAAGGAGAGCACCCCTCAAAGATGGGGGTGCGAGGGTCACCACGAGAAGCACCTACAGCGACGATGCTCTTCTCCGCTGCGAGGAGGGCCTTCTCGAGGAGGTCGACGGTGAGGGTGGTGGGACAGACTGCGAGAAAGTGGTCCCTGACTACGCGAAGGGAGTCAGGGAGGCGCGCGACTACGTAGTAGAGAGCGATGTACATGGGGGGGGGGTTCTTAGCGCAGAACTCAGCAGGAAGGGCGGCGCGGTAGCGAGTGTCACTAGTGCGGAGGTGCGTAATGAGGTCAGCGACAGTGGGAAAGGCAGAGAGGTCAGGAAAGAGGTAGGGAAGCATGAGACGGCTCAGTGCAGCAGTGGCAGGGGAGGAGTAGCGCGCAACTACAGCGTCGTACAAGGTCTGAGCACTCTTGTACTGACTGAAGTGCGCACGCTCAGAGGTAGGGAGGTGGCGACGCACAGCAAGACGTGCAGCAGCATCGCGGGTGGCCCACTTAGAGCAGACAGCGGGATCAGCATCAGCAGCAGGAGCAGGAGAGGCGCCAGAGGTGAGATCAAAGAGAGAAAGGTCGTCAGCCCTGTCGCACTGTAAGAACAGCTGCAGGTCGTCTAACCAGACCTCAAAATCAATGGCGCGACCCTCAGCGTCAAAAGCTAGGACACTAGGGGTAGCCATGGCGACGACAGTGACGCAGTGCAAGCAGCAGGGAAAGAGCTCGCAGTGTCAGTGGGACTGTGCTCACCAGGCAGGGCAGGTCGTGTAGGTATGCAGAAAGGCGGCTCGGGTGCTGGGCGGCTCAGCTGCTGGGCGGCTCGGGCGCAGGGCGGCTCGGCTCCCGGGCTGCTCGGCGGCTGGGCGGCTCGGGTGCAGGGCGGCTCGGCTCCCGGGCGGCTCGGCGGCAAGGCGGCTCGGGTCCCGGGCGGCTCGGCGTCGGGCGGCTCGGCTCACGGGCGGTTCGGTTGCTGAGGCGGCTCGGCCAGGAGATGCAGGGGCGGGGCCGTCAGGTGCAGCGGCGGGTTGACCGGTGCAGTGGCGGGCCGGCAGGTGCAGCGGCGGGCCGGCAGGTGCAGTGGCGGGCCGGCAGGTGCAGCGGCGGGCCGGCAGGTGCAGGCGGCGGGCCGTAGGGTGCAGTGGCGGGCCGTAGGGTGCAGTGGCGGGCCGGCAGGTGCAGCAGCGAGGCCGGAAGGTGCAGCGGCGAGGCCGTCAGAGGCGGCAGGCCGCTGGGTGCAGCGGCGGGCCGGCAGGTGCAGTGGCGGGCCGGCAGGTGCAGCGGCGGGCCGTAGGGTGCAGTGGCGGGCCGGCAGGTGCAGCGGCGGGCCGGCAGGTGCAGTGGCGGGCCGGCAGGAGAGGCGGCGGAGCCGCGTCAGGGGAGACGGCAGGGCCGCGTCAGGGGAGGCGGCGGAGCCGCGTCAGGGGAGGCGGCGGTGCCGCGTCAGGGGAGGCGGGGGAGCCGCGTCAGGGGAGGCGGCAGGGCCGCGTCAGGGGAGGCGGCGGGGCCGCGGCAGACAGGCGGCGGGGCCGCGTCAGGAGAGGCGGCGGAGCCGCGTCAGGGGAGGCGGCGGGGCCGCGTCAGGGGAGGCGGCGGAGCCGCGTCAGGGTAGGCGGCGGGGCCGCGTCAAACAGGCGGCGGGGCCGCGATCAGGAGAGGTGGCGGGGCCGCGTCTGAGGGACAGCGGGGCCGCGAGGGAAAAGGCGACCCGAGGGGGTCGCTAAAAAAAAGGCGCGCCTCGGGGCGCGCTTCGGTGGGCCCTAAAAAAACGGTCCTAAGGTAGGACCCGCTCTATACCATGTGAAGTAAAGAAAACAGGAATGGAATGACTAAGGAAAGATTGGGTACAAATACAACCCTAGAAACCCTGTACCCCATATGTGCTACCCCACTATAGCCTACAGCAACTATGTCATATAAATCTGACATAACCTTCATATCAATCCATCCGAGACCAGGTGGAAATCATACTCTATCGTATAGAGTGAGCACTGTCGGTTTTCGGGGATGTTCATACGGCGCGGCTCGGGAAAAACCCCGCCCACGCCTTGGGATGCACGGGGCGCGGAGACATCGCGGGGAGCGTGGGGCGAAGTCGGCCACCCAGGATCCCACCAGGTTAGGACCTAGCGCGGCCCTGCGTGGCTGAGTGAAACCCACCAGGCTGCCACCGAAAGCTCCGCGGCCCCCAGAAAACCGAAGGAACCCACCTCGTTCTTACGCGCCGATGCATGCGCGACTCGGCAGAAAACGAACGCGATTGGTCGGTAACATTGACGAGCGGGACATCCCGCGCATGCAACCGCGAGTTCGCGACACAAAAGGAGTGCTACTACTGGTTGTGCTCTCTCGCAACTTATCGCGAACAAAATTCGCACAAGCATAGGTTCGTTAACCCGCATAGCGAGATCCGGTTCGGTTACAGCTGGCGCGATCTGGTAGGCTCCATGCCAGCTGACACGTGCCGCAATTTGAACGAGCCAAAAAGTTGTCGCCGTTTCGTCGATGCGCGATCGCGGTAACGTGTCACGCACGTCCACGCAGTGTCCGGTCATTACGCCGAGCACGCCCACAGTTTCCACTTTCCGATCGCCAGTTGCACACCAAGCTCTACCCCCTCACGACCCACTGGGATACACCAGACACCAGTATTGCAGTCGCGTTGTGTGCCGCGCTAGAATTTCCGCGAGCACATCGGTCGCGAGGCAGACGCGTCTAACTCACACCCGGGTGGACAACTAGTGACCGCGCATCATGTTGACGCACGCTGTGAATACGATTAGGTGCAATCTCGCACGCCGCATGCATACCGTGAATCGCGTTGCGGCGCCAATACTTCACGTCTCAATCAATGCTTCGGGCAACACAACCGCGCATCAAATCCATAATGCTGAACCACCTACCGCTCCCGTGCATAGGGTGAACGCGCTCAACCCCACATGGAGCACCCCATACGTGCAGCCACTGGTTTTTGGGTCCCGGACGCCCACATTTCACCCACAGCAATTGGTCAACGGGCTCCACCTAGCACCGCGGCCACAAATACCGTTTGCGGCAGCGGCGGTCGCGTTACAGAATCAAACGGGTAATGCGGTCGCGTCCCCGTCTGTGCCCAGTAGCCAGCTCTTTGGGATGCCTGTGCGTGGCTTCGTAGGGCCGCAGTACTCGAACGTGGGATTCAGGTACGGGTACATCGGCGTTCAACCAGACCCCATGGTGCACGCATCCGCATTTGTCGCGACGCCTCCTGTCGCGCCGTCAACACCATTCTCCAGCGCGATTCATCCGGAAAGCCAGCCAGCGGTGCAAGCCCCGCCAGAAGCATTAGTTGTCGGTTTGGACACACAGGCGCGAACAGACGGCCCATCATCAAACGCGGTTGCCGGTGGTTTAGGGCGTGCGGTGAATGGTGAACCGGGGGTGAATGCAAGCGCGCGTGCACATTCGCCGCCAATATGGAACGTCAATTCACTGTTGCCCGAAAACCCCGACGTCCACATCCGCACCCCCGCGCATCCGACTGTAGCGTACGCGACTGGTGTAGGTGGGCAACCACAGGGGAACGCGGGGAACGCGGGGCGTGGAGCGGGTGCAAGCGGAAACGCGGTAAGGGGAAGAGGGACGGGTGCGATAGGGAACGCGGGAGGAGGGACAAGGGAGAGAGGGAACGCGGCTAGAGGGAGAGGTGCGAGACGAAGGGGTGGGAGAGCGATCGCGGGACATGGGACAGGTGCTGGAACGAACGAGTATAGTGCGAACGGCCAGGGAGCGCATGGGGTGACACATAACGGCGACCGGGGTAGCGGTGTTAACGCAAACGGCGGGTCAGGTAACGGGCCAGTTAATAGACCGCGTATAAAGAGGCGGAGAGTCGATGTAGTGCCGCACACGGCACGCAATGGCTCCCGGGAGGGGAGCGAGGGGACAAGCGATGAGGATGACGAGGACGACGCGTACGATGCGGACGATAGTTGGAATGACAATGACGAAAACTACCTAACCAACTCGCTGTCCGCGCTCAACGAGGAGGAGGCGGAAGACAACGAACGGGTGCGGGGTACGCGGAGGGACATTGAGGTCCCTATCGCAGATTGGAACAGGCTAGGTGTGGACGACACGCCGGCCGCGAAACGAGAGATGTGTTACGGAATCCTCTACGGTGTCTCTGAGGCCACGCTGAAGAAGTATCGCGGTTGGGCCAACGAGTACAAGCGGTTCATGGCTCACGAGCTGCCTAAACTAGACGCGGGTAGGTTTGGTGATGAGGCCGCGCTGAGAAACGCGAACCCCGACGAGATTGGGGCCGCGCTCGAACAGAACATGGGTGGTGACTGGAAGATGGCGGAGAGCGAGGAGCAGTGGTTCCACGGCCCTGAGACGAATCCGTGGCGCTTACGCAAATGCGTGACCTTCCTCGCGAACGAGACAGTTGCGCAGGCGGACAGGATGGCCACACTCAAGCGGCCGCAGAAGACCTTGAAGAAGAGACGCCAGTGCACCCCGGCAATGCTGATGGGGCGTCTCAAGGCTTTGAACCTGCTCATCAAGCTGGACGGGGCCATCTTCAGGAAGCCCAATCTGAACCTGCTGCGCGACTTTGCGGAGTGTCGCATCTGGGTTCGCGTTCAAGTACGCGACCAATACAAGCGGTTTATCGCGTAAGTATACGTTCTCAGTGAACGCGTTTAATGCCTGACAATCCCGCGTCCACTAACACCCGCACTATCGTCCCAATCCATGCGCAGGGAACACATGGATCGCCATCGGGGCACGGCCGCGGACACGTACACCCCGGACGAGTTCAAGCATATGATGCGGAAGACCAGCATGGACGCGATCTTGACCAGCTTCACACTAGCCAAGAAAGCATACACGCAGGCAATGCATCGCGACCTCTGCATCCGGACGATGACCGTGCTCGGTCATCACACTCTGGCCCGCGGATGCACGATCAGAAACCTGCAGCTGCCAGACATGATGATGTGGAAGCTAGGCGCAAAATCAGAGACCGATCCAGTTAGAAACGCGTTCATGTTCGTTTGCGCGTGCAGGACGGGCAAGACAAACAAGGACTTCTCGCTTAACTACATATCTGCTGTGAGGCACATCGATTGGACGCTGTGCGCGGTCGGAGCCACGCTGCTGTGGCTGCACTGGGTGTACGACTTGGTTCCCATCCTCTATGAGGACATAGCCCCCCCTCTCGACTTCACGGAACCCTCCACGTGGTACGATCAATACCTGTTCTTCCCCCTTCGCGCGGGCAACGAGAAGCAAATACCGCCCACGACTCATCACGACTGGGCGGCGAAAATACTCCAAGACGCGGGAATCACATGCTCGCGTGCGGTACACGCGACCAGGGCTGGGGGGGCGCAGCACGCGTCCGCGGACGAAATGCCTTCGGATCAGCTGGCGAGGCTGGGAGGTTGGCGCTTCATCGACGTGATGACTAAGCACTACCTCACAACCATTCCAAGGGAGGCCGTGCTGCTGAAGGCGGGCTTCACCGGGGTTGACGATGACTACTTCCTGGGTCGCGCAACTCTTCCGGTCAGCAATAAGCTGGATGAGCTACTGAGGAAGCACATTTTCCCATGGGTCGCCGCGGACAAAGGACAGCAACAGGTATGTGTGGTCCGCGCATACGCGACCGCGAGCATCTCACATACCACTCTGGCACCGCGTTCACTACCTTGTTGTTTTATTGTCACAGTGCAAGGATTACAACCGCAGGATGGTGAAAATGCAGAAGCCGGAGAAGCAGGACACCGTGGGGCTAAACATACTGAAGGAGCTGGATGGGGACGCTACGATGGCGGTCGCGCAAGACCTGGCGATGTATTACATCCACCAGCCGCGACACCCGTACGTGGTCAACAATCCGCTCTGCCAGACGGAGGAATTTGCGTCGTGGGCTGCAGATGTCTCATTGGCAAATCAACTCGCCATAGTACAGCGCAACACACCTACACTGATCCAGCCCGCAGTAAGTACTGAATGGTCGCGTTATGTTTCTTCCGTGATGTCAATGCCAAACCATAACAAGTTCGCGGTCGCTTTCTGTCCATGCAGGAGGTGAGTACCAGAATGGACGCGCAGAACCAAGTGACCGTCCTCACTGAGTACTTGACTCGTTCACAAGCGGAGAACACCAGATTGGGCCTAGAGTTGGTCGCGACTCATAAACGGGTGAAAGAGCTGGAGGGGCTGCTGGAGGATCGCGATCGGAAACTGGCCGAGAAGGAGGAGCGCGTGAATGATTTGGAGGCTCAGCTGTCATGGCTCACCGTGAGCAGCTCAGGGCCGACCGCGGTTCCGAACCAGGCAACCACTCCTGGAGCCGCGGCCGCGTCGACCAATGCCACAACTCCCACCGAGCAGGGGACGCGGAAGAAACCCGCAGCGCCCACCAGGGAACAGACAATTCGGGACGCGATCGTCCTTCCATGGGTCAACGCCACCAAACCGTCAGACGGATGGAAGCTGTACAAGACAACGCACCCGCTGATCCTCGAGAGTCCAGAGTCGCTTCTGGCCCAGCCCCGCGGCGCAGTTACGCGAATGGCCGCGCTCATTGGGGAGGAGGGAGGCGGCCAGAACGCGATAAACCGTGTTAAGCGAATCATGAACTTCATCGCCCACAGGGTGGAGCAAGGAGACGACATCGCGGTAGTGCTCGACAAGCTCGACCTCATGTCAGGTGCTGTGGGCATGTCGGGTATATCGGAAGGGATCGCGGTAAAGAAGAAGAGTGTTGACCTGGAACTAAGCCAGCTGAAGAAGGGTTCTCCGGTGGAGGTGCAGTTGCGTGTGAAATGGATGCTTGTTCGCGACCGTCTCATCAATGCCTCACTTCCCGTATCTGAGTTCACAGTCGCGTGGCCCCAGTACTGTGCGCTAATGCCAGACTTGCTGCAGAGGGTAAGAGCTACATAGCGTGCAAGAATGCTAAGAGGGTATGCAACGTCAGGACGAGTGCAGGTCATCAGGTACATGAGGCAGCCCACAAGCTCTAGATACGGGCCACTCGGCTCTACAGACTCATCTGAAGGCAGAGCTGAGAGCGAGTGACCGGTAGGCAGAGGAGTAGACTGTGGCGAGGAGTACTGGAAAACGAAGCGCTGAAGGACCTGCTGCACCATGTGTGACTGAGTCAGGGTGATGGTGCGGCGTGTTCTGTCCCGAGTGATCTGCAAGCCAAGATAGCTGCGCAGTTCATCCAGGTCTGTGCACGTGTGTCTCTTCTGCAGCTCTGACTTCACTAGAGTCAGTGCCTTAGTGTCAGCAGTGGCAAAAACCAAGTCGTTGACGTACACGAGGATGTAGGACGGTGGCAGCGAAGTGTCGGTGCGTAGAAACAGCGACGGGTCAGCAGTAGAAGGAGCAAACCCAAGTGCCGCCAGTGTAGTCCTCAGTGTGTCGTGCCACTCACGGGGTGCCTGGCGGAGACAGTAGACTGGTCGTCGGAGGCTCCACTGGGTACCAGGAGGAAACGACCCAGTGAAGCCAGGTCGGCGGCGCAGCCAGATCTCCTCGTGCAGGCTGCCCTGAAGGAAGGCTGTGTTGAAGTCAAGAGAGTGGAGCTCGTAGTCACGCGGAGCAGCGACGTGCAATAGTACCCGAAGAGTGGTCATCTTCGGGGTGGGAGAGAAGGTCTGAAAGTAGTCAACTCCCTGTCGCTGACTGAAGCCTCAAGCCACGTAACGCGCCTTGAAAACAGGACGAGAACCCGGCGGCCGCTTCACCCTGAAAATCCACATGCCACTGACAATGTTCGCCCTAGGTGGGGGAACCTCGTCGACGTAGGTGCCTGTGGACTTCCAGGAAGCCATCTCTGCCTCCATGGCTGCCTGCCACTGAGAGGAATAGGGACCCTCAACGGCCTCTGAGAAGGAGGATTCCTCATCAGTGGGAGGATACATCTGCGTAGTTGGGGGAGGACCGGTTAGTTGGAGGTCAAAGAAGCAGACGGAGACAGCACTCTCGTCCATGGAGTCAGAGTACATGGCAATGTTTCATGGGGTGAAGGAGGTGATTTGGCTGAGGAGGCTATTGGAGGAGATTGGCCAGGAGCAAAAGGTTGCTACGCCGCTGTTTTGTGATAGCAAGGGAGCTCTTGGGATGGCCAAGAACGCTGTGCTTCATGGGCTGAATAAGCACATGCGTATCAAGTGGCACTGGCTGCGTAAGGAGGTGAAGAGGGGGACGGTGAATCCGATCTACATCAAGACTCACCAGCAGCCAGCAGACTTCCTCACCAAGAGGCTTGCGGATGAGCCTCATTGGAGTTGTGTGCGCATGAGTGGAATGAGCATGAACTAGTATGGAATGATGGGGATGCAGCCGGCAGGCTGAGGGGGAGAGTGTTGGGTGCAAATTCACATTGCACGACATCCTGCCGTCTGTTGGTATGAGTATGCGTGTGCGAATGCATTTGGGTATGAATGGAATGATCGTGTGTTTGTTTGCTTTCGCAATTTTCGCTTGAAGCATTTGCAGGTCCTCGCGCATTGTGCGCTTTGGCATAACATTGTACGCGCTATGAACAGTACAAGCAGAAAGGACGAGCTCGCAAAGGAACCCAAGATGGAAGCTTTGCGGTTCGGCTTACTTGATTGCGCAGATTCAGTTCTATCCGACTCGAAATTGTACTGTTTTGTTTGGTTGACTATAGTGTAGCAGGGCAGGCACTATAGGGGTACAATTTAGGTGAAGGTTGGATGTTGTTTGTCTGTATCTGCATGCTACAGGGCCAGGGGAAACCAGCGGAACCAGCATTTGGCTGGTTGGGCAAAGACAAAACAGGTTCTGTTTTTAGGACCTGAACCTGGTTGTTGTTTTCCCAGGTTGGAAAAACAGAACCAGAGGTTGTTTACCAACCTACCACCTGCTGTTTTGTCCAGCCAGGCTGGTTCTGTTGCTTGGAATTATTTGGGATCATCCCTGGTTGTTCCCAGGTTGATTCCCAAGGTTCTTGCTAGCTAGAACTATTTATTCTTTCTCTGTTTGTACCTGAATATAGTGAAATTGATTCAAGCGAATTCCTCCCTTCCTGGAATTTCGTTTCTACGCGGTGCGACGGCGGAATGCTACCCGAGTCAACGCTAGTACGTTAGCTCTCCAACGCTAGGCTAACGCTGTCCGAGCCATAACTTCGTAATGGCAAAACTTTTCGCGAGGCAACTTGGCTTATTTTAAAGCTCTTAGAGTGAGCTTCGATATAGGAAATTCTCAGCTTAATCCGATCGACGGTCTGCACGATACGCTGCGCGACGTTCAAGGTACTCTTGCTGTTTTGACTAAGTCCCTCTTGATCCCTCTCTCTACAAACTCGGACCCGAGGATAGGGGCTGGTCTTGTACCAGGCACCCAAGGGCCCTTGGAGGTGACCCCGAGGAGAGGTTTTAAGTGTGGTAAAGTCTTAAAAGCTTGAGTTTATTAGGCCCTTACACCAACAGAGACGGGTGTCTCCCATCCCTTCATAACGACACCCTTCGGCTTCTTAGTTTTCCCCTGCTGCTGCTCTCTCCCCTCAGATACAGCAGCTCCACTAGTGCTACCGCTAGTCTCCACACCATCACCTCCACCAGCAGGTGCCTCCTGTACCTTCTTTCCATCACCACCCTCTGCAGCTGCCTCCTCTCCCTCCTCCCACACACTAGGAGTCAGGTCCAGGTGCATGGTGCAAATTCACATTGCACGACATCCTGCCGTCTGTTTGTACGAGTATGCGTGTGCGAATGCATTTGCGTGTGAATGGTATGTTCGTGTGTTTGTTTGCTTTCGCAATTTTCGCTTGAAGAATTTGCAGGTACTTGCACAATGTGCGCTTCGGCATAACATTGTACACGCTATGAACAGTACAAGCAAAAAGGACGAGCTCGCAAAGGAACCCGAGATGGAAGCTTTGTGGTTCGGCTTACTTGATTGCGCAGATTCAGTTCTATCCAACTCAAAATTGTACTGTTTTGTTTGGTTGACTATAGTGTAGCAGGGCAGGCACTATAGGGGTACAATTTAGGTAAAGGTTGGATGTTGTTTGTCTGTATCTGCATGCTACAGGGCCAGGGGAAACCAGCGGAACCAGCATTTGGCTGGTTGGGCAAAGACAAAACAGGTTCTGTTTTTAGGACCTGAACCTGGTTGTTGTTTTCCCAGGTTGGAAAAACAGAACCAGAGGTTGTTCACCAACCTACCACCTGCTAGTTTGTCCAGCCAGGTTGGTTCTGTTGCTTGGAATTATTTGGGATCATCCCTAGTTGTTCCCAGGTTGATTCCCAAGGTCCTTACTAGCCAGAGCTATATATTCCTTCTCTGTTTATACCTGAATACAGTGAAATTGATTCAAGCGAATTCCTCTCTTCTTGGAATTTTGTTTCTACGCGGTGCGACGGCGGAATGCTACCCGAGTCAACGCTAGTACGCTAGCACTCCAACGCTAGGCTAACGCTATCCGAGCCATAACTTCGTAATGGCAGAACTTTTCGCGAGGCAACTTGGCTTATTTTAAAGCTCTTAGAGTGAGCTTCGATATAGTAAACCTCAGCTTAATCCGATCTACGGTCTGCACGATACGCTGCGCGACGTTCAAGGTACTCTTGTTGTTTTGACTAAGTCCCTCTTGATCCCTCTCTCTACAAACTCGGACCCGAGGATAGGGGCTGGTCTTGTACCAGGCACCCAAGGACCCTTGGAGGTGACCCCGAGGAGAGGTTTTAAGTGTGATAAAGTCTTAATAGCTTGAGTTTATTAGGCCCTTACACCAACAAGCTGGTATCAGAGCTGCGTTATAGTGATCCTCGTTATAGGTAGCTATGGCGGGCAACACCTCGGCGGTAGCTGGTGAATCTTCAGCCCAAGATCGTAGCGGCAGCCAAGATTCTGGTGTTTCTGCGCCAAGGGGAGCGCGAACAAGCCAGGGCTCGCTGATCAAGGAGGTGCTGAAAAACTTCACCGTCGAGAAGTTCAATGGTGAGGGCTATGATGATTGGGCCTGGAAAATGCAACTTTATTTCCGTCAGATCAGATTGCTGAAACTAATGATTGGGGAGGAGCCTAGACCGAGTGACCCCGCCCTTCAGGAAGATTGGGACGAGCGCGCCTCGGCTGGCTACTACTTGATGTCGCAGAGTTTGGAGCTGAACCAGCGTCACCACGTCATGCACCTGCTGCCGGAGGTTGAGTGTGGTCCAAAGGCGTGGACCGTGTTGAAGGAGCTGCACGCCCCGACCTCCGTTGTTGCAACATTGATGCTGGAGAGGGAGCTGTCCGCGTTGCGCCTGAGCGAGGGAGAGCGGGTACAACCCATCCTGGACAAGATGCGTGATCTCTACGCGAAGCTGGCGATCGCGGGAATCACCTACCCGGAGCAGACCAATTGCCTGAAGATGCTCTCGCTGCTGCCGGAATCGTGGCTTCAATTCACGAGCGGATTGAGCCTGCCGAAGAACCAGAGCTTGTGGACACTCGAGTGGGTGCGGACGAAGATTCTGGAGGAGGACTTCCGTCGCCGCCAACTGAGGGGTGGAGACGACGGCAGCAGCGGCTACGGGATGCAAGGGAGCCGACGTGGCAAAGGACGTGGCTTCGGTGGTGCTGGACGCGGTGCAAAGAAAGACGACGACTCCAACGACCAACAAGGAGGTACCGGTTGGGGTCGCGGTGCGAAATCTGGACGTGGGGGCAAGTCGGGTGCTGGTGGCAAAATGAAAGGGAGTTGCTGGTATTGTGAGAAGGAAGGGCACCCCTGGTTTTTGTGCTATAAGAAACCTGATGGATGGACCCCCCAGAATCGTCACCAGGATGGCGGCGCGCGGAGGAACCAGAAAAACGGCGCCAACATGGTCGCTGATTCGTCCGACAACAACCCGAGGGGCAACGGCGGTGCGGAGAAGAAGAAGGAGCGCACCGCGGGCCAATTCTTCCATATGGGAGAC